AACAAATAGACTTTCAGCAAGTACTTATTAATAGTTTTAAGCTCATACGAAGTCGTCAAGCAAGTTGTTTTTCTAAGGCGTTCTTATTTCTTAAGGTATTTAAGGTATTTAACAGAACACCCACTCGTTCCGAAGGCCTTTCTTTAACTTGGTGGTCTCATAAGTACGTGGGTCAATAGTCCAAAAATCGTTTCCGCTCGTTAAAAATCTTACAAGAATAAATGGCATTTTTTGCACATGAAATATCGAATTAAAATTTATTAATACAATTTTTTTCGGATGAGCAATACAATTACCTATTTGAGGAGCAGTTTAGAAAATGAACGCTTAAAAATTAAACATTCATACAATATATATGATGGACTCTCCCGTTGCAGATTCAGTAAAACAAAGTGTTCAACTTCAACGGACACTCATTTTTCTCCCGAGGCCTGAAGATGTCTTGCGAACTTTTTGACAGATGGAACATGTGGCAGATCTATTTGTCACATATTTTTGCATTAAAGCAGGAAAGGCTGCCAACTTGCTTTAATATTTGCACGCAGTTGATCACGGTGTTCAAGTCGGACTTGCTCAAACATTTGTACAGATGAGAAGCACCAGTTCTTGCACTCGGGCATTTTGTTTTCCCAGCAAGAAAAAGGGATGCTGTATCGATGCAGATTGTCTTTGAGTTTGTCTTTGAGTAGCCTTACAACTGACCTGCTTGATAGAAGCCGGTCAAAGAGGAGTTATTTTGGACGTCCTCTATCGCTCATACGAGGAAGATAGTCTACCTACCTGTTGGATTTTTATTAGGATGATTTTCATACCTGTCATGATACATTTAGTCAGAATTTTTCTGTTTCTAAAGCGATCACTCAATTTTATGTTCCAGATAGTACGGAGGCAACGCATGTGTAAAGCATCGAATTGATTGGTGTATCGTCCGTACAGAGTCCAAGATTCTGCACCACAGAGTATGGGTGTTAGTACAACTGACTTGTACACATCAATTTTCACCTGTAACGAAACAGCATGGGTATTCCAAAGTCCATGATAAAGATTATCGAAGGCAGAAATAGCCTTTCAAATCCTGCACTCAATTTCTTTGTTAAGCTTAGTATCGTTGGATACAATGAAAGCAAAATAGGTGAAAGAGGAAACTGTTTTCAAAGCTTTTCTATCAGCATAAACAGTGGAAGCAACAGCTGGAGAATGTTTATGAATAAACTGATGGACATGGACAAGTTTTTTTATGCTGATGGTCGGACCGAAAGCTTTAAATGGACGTGAGAATTTGTTTACGATTCATTACATATTGTTACGAGTGTGCACTACAAGTGTGCAAAGGTCTGCAAAGAGCAGGTTCCGAACAGTTTGCACAATCGTCCCTCAGCCTTTTGGCTCAGAGTGATTCAAATAATTTAAATCCCAGCCCCAGGGACAGGGGGGTACAGACAGTACCTCTCCTTTAAAACGGGGCTGGTTTATTGCCGGGCGCCTGAGGCGACCCCAAAAGAGCAAGTGCCGACGGGGCTTGGGCAATTTTTGCATGGTATTACCGTTAAACCTACTTTAAATCTCGACCTTGTGTCATTCGGTAGCGACGTGGGCGCACTAAAAAATACCCCCGGCCTTTTGGCTGGCATCAAAGTGCAGTATCTGCCCTCAGGTGGATAAACTACATTTCATCACCGTGTCTGTCTTCTGACAGCGTAATTAAAAATATTGTTGAGAGGTGCTCCATCTCGTGAAACAGCTGCCCGCGGCAGTAACCCCCTCATGGTACTAAATAGGGTGGGGTCGGTAATAATACCGATGCCAACACAACCGAGGGTTGCGGGAGCTGCACAATTTTTGGACCTGTTTGGGTGGTGTACGCGTTCGGGTTTCCCACATTGAACGGACCTTGTGTCACATCCTGACAATGTAGTGCGGCAAGAAATTTTAATCGTCTTACTTTGAAGCGTTGTTGGTTGAATAACACACCGTTTGTCCTAAACTCAAATCCCATACCTTCTTCATCATTCAGAAATACTGTTTCCAGCATGACAGAAAAAATACAAAGCAAGTCGGAAAGGAACAAGGACACAACCTTGCTTTGTTCCATTAGAGACAATGAATGGGTCGAACACCTTTCTATAGGATCCAACTGTGATGTTTAATATATTGGCAGATCTAATCAGTGGTTGAAGACTAGGATTGATCAACGTGTGCCAGCAGTGTGAAAATCTGCACAGGCTTGTGAATACTTCTGGTTCTGCCATTGCAAAGAACTTAAATGATTAGATCTGTGTCACGCCTTCCTCAGGTATTTTATTACCATAATCAGCAATGCGCATTCAGATTACCATCTAAGAATTATTGAAACCATTTATATTAAGGCAAAACGGCTTTCCCTCTGGCTGATGTATCTAAATGTAATCTGTCTATGATTTATACTGCTGATTCCCTGGTAGTAATTTTTTCTTCTCGCTTTTTTTTTACTAGTCAGTGTGCACATATTTTTGTCCTCGATTGGCTCTGAGGAGCGAGGATCTATTGAAACTTCTAATTTCTTTTTACCGCAGCAAAATTTTTCTTGCCCTTGCTTTTCTGACTCATTGCTTTATATTTTCTATTCACTTTATATATATATATATATATATATATATATATATATATATATATATATATATATATATATATATATATACTACAGTTCAAAAATTTTTAAGCCACCGCAGAATTAGCAAGAGATGAACTTGACAGAAGAGTAAAAAAAAAAAAATAAAGAAGAGCTCTTAGAATGATTGAAAAAAGAATGGAATCAATTATTACACTTATACTTTGAGAAACTTTTCCAACGAATGCCAAAAATTTGTGCAGCAGTAATCAAAGATAAAGGAGGATATGTTGATGAGAGCAAAATTTAATCATAAAAAGTATATATAAATATATAGAAAAATTAAATTAAATTATTTTAATATGCTTGCTTGTACCTATCTGCAAAAACAAAATAAACAAATTTCATTATTTTTTATTCTATAACTTGGAAAGTAATGAAGCTATAATGAAGGATATTTATATGCATTTAAGCATATAAATATACATACAAAAATAAATTAAATATGTATATTTATATGCTTAAATGCATATAAATATCCTTCATTATAGCTTCATTACTTTCCAAGTTATAGAATAAAAAATAATGAAATTTGTTTATTTTGTTTTTGTGAACTTGAAGGTAGGTCAGTCGGTTTGCAGATAGGTACAAGCAAGCATATTAAAATAATTTATGCGAAAAATAAGGCGTTGGAATTCTTGAGAGGCTTAACAGGGGAATGACGACCAGTGAAAAACATTCTTGTCCAATTTCGATTTATGGTGGGGATGAGGGTTTATCTTCTGTTACATGCAGTGGTGGTATCCTACCGGTTCGCGAATCTGTTGCTGGATTTTCCGAAAATAATCTTATATGTTAATAGACGATGGCCTAGGTAAAATGTTAGTTACGCAATGCTTGTGCGCGCGCCTAGTGACATTCTAATAGACACATGCCCCCTATCGTTTTGAAGTTAAAAAATGATTTGTTTCCATTCTCAGATTGAAAAAAAAAATCAGAATAGGTTCCTAAAGATTACTTATTTTTATAAAATCAATTCCTGGAAATTTAGGAAGCCACCACTGGTTACAAGTCTATACGGCACCATACTTTACAGGCGCAGTGGCTTATCCCACGAAGAAATGCAATCCTGGCTTTTATCGAGAAGTGAATGTTTAATATTGCCACCAAACCCGCCCAAGTTAAAGTGTTTAAGCATTACTTTTCAAATGTGCTTATTGTTACAACTGTAAATTAATCTCCGGTCAAAGAGATAAGTCATTCTTTCACTTCAGCTTCAGATTGATCTTCAGTATGTACTTTTTGATATGACTCAAGTGTTTAGTATATTATCGGCGAGATTTTGCATTATTCGGCCACATTGTGTAAAAGGCAAGTTTAGAAAGAGTAAAAGAAAAGAAAGGAAATGATTCATTCAGTTTTACAGCATTGCAAACTGTAAATGGAAAAAGGAGGAAAAATACAGGAAGATTCCAACATTAAAACACAATGCTATTGTGTCATGAAGAATTATGAAGCATAAATCCGTGTTTGTATAAGGCAGTATTTTAACTTATAAACTAGTATAGAACCCATAAAAAATGACGGGAATATTTCCGTATGGATCGACATTTTTGTCTAGTACCTTATGAAAAGTTTGGTTTGTATTGTTTTGTTTTACGGCATATCAACCTCAACAATAGTCAACAATTTTTATTGTTGGTAATATTTTTTTCAAAAATCTATTTCTGTTAATAATTTTTTACAAAATATTTCGGATATTAAAACCTATTTTTACACTTTCATAGTGTTTTGACCCTAGTATGGGGGTTAGCTATTTGCCCATAGCTGGGACCCTAACAGGTGCTACCACCCTCGGATGTACTTTATCGTCATACCCAAGACGCCTTATGAAAAGCGTTACACATAAATCGGGGAATTAGTCCCGGCTTTCCCACATGAAAGGACTGAGGTTAAAAATTTGCAAAAAATATTGAATAAAATCAGCAAGATTAGAGCGGGCAAATTCTCTCTTTTAGGTGGGTGAATAAAGAAAGACTCAAAACTCCTGCTCGGTGTGTAACAATAAAAGGAGAAAATGTTTATTGGCATATACAATAAAAAGGGTAAAGAGATAAACACAAATAGGAGAGAAAGAAAGGGAGAAAGAAAAGTCCTTTAACTTTAAAGGAAGAGAAAAGGAAAAAGAGAAAAACAGAAAAAAAAAAGACTTGCTCAAAATATTTCTCTGCGCGCCTAAAAGTTCTTTAAGCGAGTAGAATTTTGTTAAGGATTAGAAACACTCTAAGTTTTTCTCACAGTTCTTGTAGAGTAGGAAAATGTTGATAGATATAGGAATTTCGAAGTTGAGTGAGTTCATAGGTCGACGACAGAAGTCTTGTAGGTGAAAGGAAGGCAGCTTTCAACTGGTCTT